GAGGAGAGCCGTCTCCCAGAGGGAGATGATACATCTTCGCCCCTTTTCCTTCTTGTCACAGACTGAGATGGCTCAAACACTGGAGAAAGAGTGTATTAGTTCACAGGAAAGGGCATGTCTTCACAGCTGCTGTGTGTGAGGCTATGCCCCAAGAGGAGAGAGGGGAATTGCTCATCCATAGGAAAAGGCTGGAGCAGCTGTGGAAACTCGGGCTGATCCCCAACACCCAGCACTGGGGACAGAGGACTTAGGACACCAGACCGGTGAGGGTTCATCAGCTTGTATGCTAGTAGGCATGAGATGGGAGATGATATAATGTCCTCAGAAACATCTAGTTTCCTCAGTAATGCCTTCAGGACCAGTGGGTTCAGCTGGACTCAGCAAAGCCCGGAGCACTGCCCTGAAGGACATGCTGCCAACACATGCCAGACTACAGGTGTGCTATGTCTCCTCCATACCCAGAAAACATTACAAAAGGTGTAAACTGTTGGCAGTGCTCCCGGGTGAGGGGCAGGGAACAGGACCCTGTGGATCACATCCTTTCCTTACTAGGAAAGCACTGGCTGTTGTGGAAATGGTCCCAGGCAATTCTGGTCCCCTCAGCACTACAGTCATTTTGATAGCTTCATGTAGTGCCAAGTTGTCACCAGCTCCAAGCTAGACTCTGGAGACAGATGAACAACCAGCTGGAACCTGTCCCAGCATGCAGTGCACGCTGGCATGGGACCCGAACCAGACTCCCAGGAAGAAGGTCTCCAGAACCCTGCTGGAGGCATGTACAGTGGGGCACCAGTTTCCAGAAGGTTCTGACTCCTTTAATGCTGGCCTAGAGAAGGCTTGCTCCAGGACAGACAGAAACACTCAGAACTCTTCTGTATGTGCCTGTGTCTGAATATGTCCCAGATAATAAAAGAAATGTGTCGCCACCGGATTCAAGAGCAGGAACCCGGCCTTGCTGTGTGTGGCCCTGGGTGCTGGGCTTCAGGCAGGGCCGCGATGCCGCTTTCCTGTCAGATCTTTCTTTCTGGATGTCCGGGACTGCTTTGGCCTGCTTCCTTGTCCTCGGCCAGGAGCTTTCGGCACAGGGTACACCTGAGACGTGCTTCGACTGAGTTGGAAGTTCACCTGCAAGGGCGAGGCAGAAGCTGAGTGCCTGTTTGGACTTTCCCCGTCACACCAGGTTCTAAAGGTAGGGTACTCCAGACTCGGCAATTATCTCCCAAAAGAGCGGTACAGAATCAACCACTGATGACATGAAGTGTGTGGCTGGATGGACTAAATATTAGCAAAAAATCCTATTCTCACCTCCAATCACACTTTTGCTTACACCCTGCTTAGGGCCAGAGTGATGAGCGGAGGGGTCTCCATCTCTATTTCCCTCCTAGTGGCTGTGTGAGTCGCCGGTACCGTGCACATACAAGCAGATGAGCGTCTCAACCTCCTGCCGCACGGCACCGCTTGGCAACCGGGGTCGGAGAGGTAACAGACATTGCCTGGCTAGATTCTTTTTTCTTTCTGAGATAGGGTCTCACTATGTAGCCCCAGCTACTTAGAACTTGCTCTGTAGCCCAGGCTGGCCTTGAAATCACAGAGACCCACCTGCCTCTGTCTCCAGAGTGCTAGGATGAGAAGGTGTGGCCACCACATCCTCAGTGTGATGGAAGGGCTGTGTACAGCTGCCCTCTAGCCATGGGACACAAATGGGAAGATGCTGTGGACTGGGCGTTTGGGTGTCGGGGCACTGGTGTGGGGCACTGGTGTGGCTGCAGAGCCATCACGGCAGCAGAAAAGGGGGCGACACCATGTCCTAACTACAGCCCCCCCCCCGAAACCCCTTCCTCTAACAGGTTCAACTACTGAAGCAGCGGGGAGTTAAAACCATGCTCTGAGTTTCCTGCCTCTTCCATAAAAATCCATGGCCAGATTTTCCGCTGGCTCTGTAAAAGGGGAGGGGAGTCGGAGCCAACTCAAGGAGACCATTTCCTACTTTCCCTTTAGTAAACACATAAACCCTGGAACGAAAGAGAGGAGACCTCAGGCAACAGGGGAGGAAAGGCAGAGCAAAGAGAAAGGCTCCAGCATCGGCTGCAGCAGGGAGGTGGGGACAGCCCGGAATGCTGGGCCCTGGGAGAGGTTTTAATCCTCTTAAATGTAAGATGAAAACCCTTGAGGAAACATCTTTTTTCTTTCCTCGGGAAAGCGGCTAACAGCTCTAAAATTAAAATGGAAGCCAAGCAAAGGGCAGTGCAGTCAGTGAAGAGAGGTGGCCTCTGAATATCACATCCAAACGGCAGACTGTGCCTCCGGGTTAGACTTGACACAATGGGTGGGTATGCTCGTTTATTTAAAGGCTATGGAGGGCGGGAGGGAGAGCCAACTTCTTCAAAACAGGCGTAACTCAAGAGGCTGTGGAGCCGTTTACATTTGGCAGTGAGCAGGCTTGCCTACATCGCATGGTTTATGGATGCGGCTGCTGCTGGACATTTGATGTTAGGGTGAAATGGGGAAGAAAGGGGATGGCTGGCTGGGAAACAGGGTTCTCCGTGATGGGGGGCTGTCTTCTCTTCCTGTCTGTCAGTAGAAAGCATGTGCCA